CACTCGAGCTGCATTTTCCTTTAAACACAAGTGTAGTTGTGAAATCGAGAATGAAATTTCAAGCTACATACCTCTGGCATGTTTCGTTTTAAAGCCTCCATCTCAATGTTATTGGCAAACGCTTTCTGGAGAACAAAGTAGATAGTTATATCAAGCTTTAGCCAATGCGAAGAATTTACCACCGGGTTTTCACGTTCATCGAAGCCTGGAAGTGCTCCCACGAACTGAAGTTTCCACTTTGAAAAGACTTTTCTCATATCTGGAGCGTCAGAAGATCCATATACAAAACCTCCCACAACTCTGACCTTCAGCTTTTCAAAAGCAAGAGCGCTGCATCGAGTGTAAGTTGCTATTTCTGTGGCCCAGTCCTGCAAATTCCCTGCGTGATCCTTACTGCTCCATAGTTGACGAAGAGCGTCTACATTGGTCGCAAGGAGCACTGGCGATCCAAGAGCACTGGCAATGTGAGCGTCCAAAGCACTCGCATCTCTACAAAACTGTGTTCCTTCGATCAGCACACACTCGTGCCTTCTCTTGAGCTCTTCGTAAGCTGGACAGGAAAGATCATAAACGAGGAAAGGAAGAAAAGAGACACATGGACAAAAAGAAGTAACTTACCGACGTAAATTTGCTCCAGCATCTCGTCCAGATCGCCATTCGCGAGAAATTCTAGCGCTTTTCTTCGATCGATCCCCCACATTGTATCGAAACCCTTCACCGCGTCAGCGTTTGCCGCCCCGACAGGTCTAAAATACCCCACATCGCGTTCGAGCACTCGGAGAACGCCCAACAATCCCACCCTGACCGCTCTAGCAGCACGATCGTCGGCCTCGGTGACTGTCCGGTGCAGATAGAGCGTGTGGAAATCTCGATTCCTCCTCCAGCAGTAGCCGGAAGCTCGCGCAATTTGCCTCAACATCGAGGAACCCTAAAATCCTAGAGAAGTGAAATTAGGGCGATGGCGAGTAGCGAGGGCGCCCCGGCTCCATCGTTTCTGGTAAGTTCTCTTCCTTTTCCGGTCGATCCCACGGCTCCATTGATTGCAGCCTCTAGAGGCCGGCGCCGCCGGGAGCTCCAAGAAGAGGAAGCAGCGGAGCTCTTCTTCCCGGATTCTCACAGAATTCGATGAGCAAGGCAAGAGAAGATCTTCTGTGGTCTACATTGGAAGGATTCCACACGGTTTTTATGAAGATCAAATGCGAGGTTGTGTTTTTTTTTTCGGCTTTGCTGGATGGATCACTGACTTGTTCATGTAGGATACTTCTCTCAATTTGGGGCTGTGACACGACTACGCCTTTCTCGCAATAAGAAGGTTCTCGTGAATGTTTGTCCCGTGAAACCTTCCTTTACACTTTTCTTCTCTCTTTGCAGACTGGAAAGTCTAAGCACTACGCTTTTGTAGAGTTTGAAACGCCAGAGGTAAGAGCTAAACGTTTTCTCACATTGTGATAGCCTTTAAATTATCCCCAGATTGCTCAAATCGTCGCCGAGAGCATGAACAACTATCTCATGTTTGGAAGGATGCTTCAAGTAAAGATTGTTCCGACTGATCAAATCCATCCATCTTTGTACGTTTTCTTTTTCTCTCGATGTGCCTGCTGACGTATTTTTGTGCAGATGGAATGGAGCAAACAAGAAGTTCTACTTACCTTCCAAAACTAAGACCAACGAGGTGAGTATCTATAGATGTGATGCTCATATACCAGGAAGCTTTTTTTTAGGAGATGAGTTTAGAACGAAGGCAGCGCTTGGTGGAAAAATTCGCGCGCAAGGATAAAGCACGGCGGACAAAACTACAGGCTCTTGGCTACGATTACCCAGAAATTGTGAGTATCATAGTAGGGATCGATTATAGAAAATGCTGACACTCGAACTTCCAGGAAATATCAAATCTAGCGCCTACGAAGACGAGGTTTGATTAAAACACGAGAAACATTTGAAGCATAGAGTTTTTCTTTTTATGAGGATGAATGCTTAGAAATTCTTCATTTTTAGTATGAAAAAATATCTTTTAATGATCCCTTTTTTAAAATTAAAGTAGTGGTTCTTAAAACTATTTATTTAATTTTACATTAACATAAGCTCCACTTAAAAGCTGCACAGACCACCTGATTATGTTTCAAATCCTGTTAGATCTCTCCAGTGCAAAAAGTGGTAGGCTCCTCTACTGCTTTGTGGATTTTAAGAAAGCCTTTGACATTGTACTGAGACACTTGTTATTCTAACAATTAAAGGAACTCAGTGCACCAGCCAATATTGTCAATGTCATAAAGCACTTTTACACCTGCATTCAAATTGAGCTCACTGGACAATCAGCAGTCCCTTGTGACGCCAGATTCAAGCAAGGGTGCCCACTCTCCCTGACATTGTCTAGCATTTACATTGATGTGTTAACTGGCCAAGCATGAGCTTTCCACCACCTAGATTGCTGGTCTTCATCTCAACCCAGGTCACTAGTCTTCATCTCATGCACAATATATGCTAACAATTTTGTTACTCTTTACTATAACAGAAAAGAAGATCCAATGGCAGTTAGAGGCCCTCAAGGAATTCTGCTAGGACATAAGACTCAAGAGCAACCTGATCAAAACACAAATGTAATCTTCAGCTTGAAAACAAGCCACACACCGCTTTGCAAGTTACCACTTACAAGTAATTCAGTTATCACCTTCACCATTAGTGAACATGGACCACTGGAGTAGTACAACACAAAGCCGCAGCTGGACAGGCATATTACAACCTATTGAACTCGCTCTACCAAGCAGCCATGTACCAGTGGGATGCATGAAAGGAAACACTATCAAGCTAGGGTTAACACCACCCTGTTACATGGTTGCACCCCCCAGCCATGGGCTGAAGGACTGCAGCTCCATTGTTTCGAACAACGTGGACAAGTCATCACTGTTGCTGTGCAATGCTTGCCGCAGCCTGCAGCAGGCATCGAAGTCGTCTTTCTCTACAGTGGCGTTCCAAGGCAAGCCCCGCAAAGTAGAGGCAAACATAGGACACCGACGCCAGCTCCGTCATCAGCCCCAGACGAGCACCGATGAGGCCGTTCAAGGAGCTGAAACGCAGATCATACGTCGCAAGCTCACATACATGCTGCTGCTGCTTGAGCTCCAGAGCAGCGCCAAAGTCGAAGAGGTAGAAACGCCTGCCATCTTTGCGCGGTGTGTAACTCCAACGTTGCGGGGATTTATATCCGCGTGAAGCACACCGTTCCTTTGCATTCACCCACGCATCAAGATGGATCAAAATGCCTAGAACCGAACTTACGTGCAAGACGATCACTATTCTCGTAAGGTCCCGGCAGAGGTCGTGCACTGTTTCTGCGACAAGCAGTCGTGGCTGAACCAAGTCAAGGAAAGGAACACCCTCCAGCTCCGTGAGCACAACAGGACAGCCCTACCAGTGGCCGGAGAAAACAAGAGGTGGGATCAGGCTGCAGCGTCTGAGCCTAGTCAAGATTTTGGCCTCCGTCTCCACCTACAGAAATCTTAGTGTCTTTTTGTCTCCAGATGAATTCATACCTCGTCCCACATCGGGGTTTCAATGCACAAATCCTCTGCACTTCCTTCATCGCACGAGGATAGCCGACTTTCATAATCAGCTACCGGCGGAAGGCAGCGCCTTCCACTTTGTACACGGACGTCCAGGGGCAGCTCAATTCTGCCAGCACCTGGACCGATAGCTTCCCCTCCCCAAGCTCGACCGTCTGTCCGGCTTTCAGGCAGCGAACACTGCCTTTCACTTCCAGGATCTGGCTCGGAAGCCAAGCTCCTGTTGATATAAGAAAACAAAGTCGTCCAACTGTTGAAGGAGCAGCATACCAGGGTGGCTTTCTCCAGCGCGGAACGGATGACGTCAGAACCCTGGATAATACGAGATGCTCGCTCAGCAGAGTTATAAGAGAGAAACAAAAAAGCAGACACCTCCTACTTTCCAGCGTTCTGGAAGTGAACTGAGATGCCGAATGAAGTCCGGAAAGCCGCACAAGACTGCTTCCTAGTGTCACTTGTGGCAGCTCCGTAGATTTTCTTCAGCTGCTGGAGCATCCCGTTCCGCAACTGGCCGCTTTCGGGCCGCGACTTGAAACGGGTCCAGGCAACCTCGTCAATGTTCTCAAGCAACAGGAGTGGCTTGACGGCATTGAAGTGCTCGTGCAGAAACCCAAACTGCCTTGTTGTCTTGCGCACCTTCTTTCCCTGGATCCGATCGGGAAGCACCCTATCAGCTCTTTCGTCTGGCGCATGCTCTTGAACCTGCCGCTTCAACTCAGCTGATCTATCTGCCGGGATGTGTGGCATGCAGAATTTGTTAGAATCAAGCCACTAAAGCCAAACCCCAAGAACCAGGGCGCCAGCGAATTTCTTAGAATGTGGCTTGATCGGCATTCTGGACAACCGGAGATTCACGATCATGGATTTTCTCATCTGACTGGAAGCTCACCACCACCAAGCCTGAGGGACGTGCTGGTGATCATAACTTAGGCTCATGACGATTTTTCATGACTGGAAGTCGTGATCGATAACACAAGATGTCCGCTGACTTTTTGCAATCAAGTATGACTGCCGATAGAAATTTATCTTGGGTATGTTTCTTCCCAAGTTCCATGGGAAGAAAGAAAATCTGTGTTCTATTTCTTAAAAGAATAAGAATTGCATCTTTTTTAAGAGTTATTATTATAATATTATAATAAAATGACAATAAAATTCTATGATAAAACTAAAATAATTTCAAAATCGAAAGTAAAGTTAAAAACACAGATAATATCTTAAAAAATGTATTTTCTTTTTGTGGTCTTGTATGGCGGTCTTTATTGCACAAAAACTTGTCTTTGCTATATCATTATTATTCATATAGTTATTTATCTTCAAAAAAACTTTATTTCAAACCACCTTTATTTTTACCTTTTATTAAATATTTTATTATATACCGTTCAAGAATGTTAATTAACAAATACAACAGTAAATTTGGAGTACGGTAATTGCGTAAAGTTATAATCAAATAATATTTCTAAGTTACTTTATATGTTTTCTTAATATATTTATGCAAATTTAAAATATTTATGCAAGATTACTGCACTCATTTCTTCAATCCATCTTAACCTTTTAAAACTCTTTTACAATGCGGATGATCAAACTGTTTTGAAAAGCTCTTTCATTTCTGTTGACGAGGGGCTCAATGTCTCAGATGGGTAGCACTTTTGTAGCAACGCTTCCAGGCTTTCGTATTTGTCAATAAAATCAACCTGGAAAGACCAAGATTTAATCCTCGAGACAAGAAAGCAAGATCATACCTTGCATTTATCCCAAAGATTTGGCAACAACTCCTCTGACACTAAAGTCTTTTGCATCTTTTTATACATGGCCTGGAGCGACCTTTCCACCTGCATGAGAAAGAATTTGAAGGCCTTCCAACAGTAAACGAATTAAACGTACGCCAGACAAGCTAGCCTTCACCACTTTGCGTAGTTCGTTTTTGGAAACTCCCAGTTGGAAGGGAACCTGGAAAAGGTTTAGAGTCTTTGACATTACACAACAGACTTTCCTACTTACCTCTTCTGGAGTGATTGTATACAGCAGGTTTTCCACTCGTTGGCCGAACTGGAACAGCTTCTCAAATTGCTGAGAAACGAGAAGTGAAAAGAAAATAAGAAACGCTGGAGTGATTATAATCCTACCATGTTGATGATAGAGTTCACGTATCGAGTGCACGCTTGCTCATATGCTTCACTAGCTTGCTGGTAAAATCGAGCTAGTGTGGGTACCATATTTGCCAAGTCAAACATGCTATAAAATGAAAGTAAGTTCGATAGTCGAATTGTTAACCTTTGTGCACCTGTTCTGAAAAGAAGCATAATTTTCCAGCAGTAAAACGTCTGCGTACTTTGGATCATTTTGTGCAATACGTTCCAATACAGTGAACATTGTTCCCACCTACACATAAACAAACACACTTTGGTTCCTATATGAAAATGTTTGAACGTACCAGCCTCGTGTAAGCTAGATCCACCATGTCTCTCGACATACCCTGCACCAATCCTTCCATTCGTGAGGCTAGACTTGCGAACCTAGAACCAATGAATCAGTACGTGATCGATGTTTGATTACAGAAATAACAGTCCACCTCGGAACGTATGAGAGTACGCCCGTCTGCCTGACGTTACGGTCGTGCTTTTCTATTTGATGGCAAACCTCATCCAGGAACTAAAGAGGCATGCTGAGTTAGAAGAGCATGCGGGATAGAAACACTTACCTTAGAAAATTGGTTACTGATCCTGGCTTGCAAATCAGCCAATAGGCGCCTAACAAAACCAGCGGCATCAGCTTTGTGACTTGAGAGATATCGTTCTGTTGTCCCTTGCATTGAGATGCACCTCAAAGGATCAACTTTGTAAGCCCAATCCACAACAGCATAGAAATCCTCCTGAAACAGATTGTGTTAGACGTCAACGAAATCACATAGACGCTACCTGAATGCCATCAAGAAGCTCTTGAAGAGCCTGATTCAAGGCTTCCATCTCCGCAGCGTTTTGTTCCGCTGGAAAGTCCAAAGTCGTGTAAAATCTTTCATCTCAACTAAACTTACTCGGCTTTGCATCTGCTCCATCGAAATCTAATGGAGTATCATCCTCATCGTCTCCACTTTTCTCATCACCGGCTCTGGGAGGGGCCAAAGGTAAAACTTCATAGCACATAAATGACGCAAAAAATGCACTCTGCATCAAATCGCCATCACCATAAACTTAATAAATAGTGGAAACTGCAACTTACCTCGTCGACAAGTAGGGGTACAAATATTCGCAACATCTTGGCGTATGCATCAGAAACTGTGGATGTGTCACCCATAGAACCAGCCGTTCCTCCACCAGCAACAGCATTGTCCATCCAAACAGCTGAACTCCTTAAGACCTTCGTGCTTGCACGAAGCTCATTTGCGAATTCACGAGCCTGTAAATTTCCACAAAACATCGAAAACCTTAATCAGAAAGTCAGAAAAATCACACAAACTGAACATACCTCTCGCCGTAGCAGTAGGTTCAAGGACTGGCAATAAGCCTTTCTCAAAGGTCCCAATGAATTTTTGTCTAGCCCCTGGAGTATCAAATGGCTAGTGTGAGACAAAGACAAGGTAGAAATGGTAGCACCTTTAAGTGCTGCAGCAAACGAGCATATGTTCTACATTTGAATCGTAAATCTGCGTGGTCGGGCCTTTTCAGCTGACCCCTCTGCAAGAAGAAAATCAGCAAGCGAACAACAAAACGAAAAGGCTACCTGTGAAAAATATGTTTTGTCGCTTATCATAAAATCGACAAGATTGGAAAAGTAACTTCTCAGAAATTCAGAAGCACGACGAACAAATGTCGACTTCAATTTTTCGAGTTCCCCTCGCTTGTCTTTTACCTGTAAGACTAGCTTTCATGTCAAAATGCATGTAAGTATGGTAAAAATGTTTACCGCACGCATATTAGCATAGGCTGGATCCATAAGTGGAGGTTCCATTCCACGAATTGCTCCTGCTAGCCAGTCGCAAGCGTCAACATTTTGTGGCATTCTCGATTCATCAAACGCTCCGCTTGTCAGCAGTGTTGCATACTGATGTATCAGCAATGAGAAAATATAAACAAGAAAGAAACAAGTACCTGAGGAGGAACATGTAGTCTTTCCAGAAGTTTATTAAGCTCCGCAACAAGGGCTGCGTTGTTCTGAACTTGCATCTCCAGCATGTTGTTTCTAGATTCTATCTGCAAGACAGTTAAGATAAAACATCCAGAATGAAGATTTCGGATACCGATTCGATGTCTTCCCGCATGTGCCTAAGCTTGACGTTAAATATTCCTAGCCATTCATCCATGTCTTCGACCGCTTCTGACGCATTATTCAAACGTCTAAGAACCTATACCATATAACGATTGTTGTAAACACAGCCAGCACTATATTGTTCTTTGAAGATTTACCTCCTCAACCAAAGGATCGCTTTCCAATATTGCATGGACGTTAGCGGCTTCCAATGCTAAAAGCTCTCGTTTTAAACGTTCCGAGAATGCCTCAGCTTCGTCAAGTCCCATAACGTATCTGAGCCGAATGAGGTTTCACAAACGCACATTAAGAAAATTGGAAATTTTACGTACGTGCCAAGTAGAGCCTCCATATCGTCCTCTTCGGCCTTGGAAACGAGCTCCCTTTCTACAGTGACCTTAAGGTCTGTTTGATCAACTCCATCCGTGGTCACAGTTCCGGATGGCGTTGCCGCTGTATCAGAATGCGCCTATTCCACACCAAATCTCAATCAAAAGCTGATTCAAAAAACAAAAACAGAGAGAGAGAGAGAGAGTACCTGTTCCCATAACGCCATTTCTACCACGTCCATGCCCACAATCTTCGGTATACGACCGAGGTTTTCCTTACAAAGTCGTATAACGGTTGTGAGGAAGCGATTCCTGTACGCCACGCCATGCAATAACTAAAAGAAGTGTTTTTCAAAAGCGATGCCTACCTCTCGTCTACGTTTCGCATCGTCCATTGAGGAGGAGCTACATTCTGGATCTTCAAGTTGTCAAAACCCTGGAGAACAGTATCTATCAGTAACGAAAGAAAAAAATGAAAACACGTACCAGAACAAATGTGCAACCGGTGCTGTCGCTGGGAACAACTTCCACCCTGGACAGATGCTTCATTTTGTATAGCTTAGCCCTCTTCAGAAGAGAAAAACCAAAGAAAAAGTGAGACCAAACATTGCTATCACCACCACAATTCTTGCCTGAAACCCAGAGGAGCTATACTTGAGAACATGAAGAGTGACCTTGAACTTCTGGGTCGTGGGTGAGCGCTTGCCTGCATTGATACAAGAGGAGTTACCAACTTGAGAAGACAAACACCATTACTTACAAGCGATCGCAAGCACTCGAGGCTTGCTAGTGGAACGCGAGAGAGCTCCCCAGGCCGACTGGCTCTTTGTGACCTTGAATGCCACAGTGACATCGTTGTCCGAATCCTGGAACACTGCTTCCACCAATTTGTGGAGCTTCTCCTCCTCTGTGAGTGCCTTCACCATTGTGCCTGGATGGAGCTTCTCCTCGATCTACATCAATGCCGCAGCGCCCAGCGATGGGAGTCCCATTCTATAAACCCTAGTCACACATTCCTCCCTTTTCCCTGTAGTTGTTCGCCAGAATCACATAGGGCGACACCTGATCTGGATCCAGCGCCAGCGCCGCCTCCCCGGATTGCTTGCCCCGCTCGATTTCCCGGTGGATCTTGCACGCATTGGCCAAAATCTTCCACGCCACGGCGTCCGGCTGGAATGGCATGCTCTGGATCAGCTCCTCCGCCTTCGCTAGCTCCCCCGCGCGCCCCAGAATATCGATCATACACAAGTAATGCTCCATTCCAGCCCTCAATCGGTGATCCGACACCATCACCAGGAACCACCACCGGCCCTCCTCGACCGATCCACAAACCCTAAAGCAAGAGAGAATGCTGCTAAACGTGGCATCGTCGGCTATCATCCCTTCCAAGCTCGCGCAATTGGAGAGCTCGACCACCTGAGACAAATGCCCTTTCAAGGCATATGCTGCTATCAAAGCATTCCAGGCGGGCATATCCACCTCAGGGATGTCATCAAACACCATCCTAGCCGTCGATAGCTCATCGACAGACGCGTGAGCGACCATCACACCCGTCCATGCCACCATGTTCCAACAAGGCATCCGTGTAAATAGGAACTTTACCTTCTCTAAATGCCTGGAATAGGCAAATGCCGCTAGTAAAGCCGTCCACACCACTGCATTTCTCACACACGTAGCCAGAAACAAACCCTCAGCCTTCAACGGTAAATTTACCTGTCCGTAGAGATTTACCATGATGCTAGTGGAAAAAACATCTGGAAAAGGAATCTTTCTGTACAATATTTCCGCGTTTTGAATTTGCCCAATCTCGGCATATGCCACAAGCATAGAATTCCACGATACATTGTCCCATTGAGGCATCTTTTGAAACATGGCGTAGGCATATTCTATTTCTTGCTGTCGAGCTAGCTCACCCAAGAGCACTGTCCACAAAATGTGATCGCGTGAAGAAATTTGATCGAACAACTCTTTCGCGTGATCGAGATTTCCCGTCCGCGCCGCGACTCTGATCATGGCAGTCGATGCGATGACGTCGGTGTAGGGGAGATTTTCGTAGATTGACTTGGAGCCTCGAAAGTCCCCAGTTTGTTCGTAGAGATGGAGAAGAACCGTCCACGATTCGATGCTCCTTTGCGGCATCTTTTCCAGGAGCTCACCCGCGGCGATCGATTGCTTGCTCGCGGTGAGCGCGTGGAGCATCGCATTCCATGTCGAGGAGTCGCGAGCAGGGGAGCATTCGAAGATGTTCTTGGCGGCTTTCACATCCGCGACCGCGATTCGAGTGTAAGCAGCGATCATTGTGTTGAGCGAGATTTCATCCCTGCAAGGCATCGAATCGTAGAATTTCGTCGCGGCCTCGAAATCCTGTCGATCTAGCAAAGCTTTCAACCGGAGATTACAAGAGAAAGAATCCCACTGTGGCATTCTATCGAGAATCCCTTCGAAAGCCCCGAAATCCCTGACGGCGGCAAAAGCTCCGAGGAGAGAATTCCACGACACGGCATCTCTCGTCGGCATTTTCTCGAAGAAATCTGCCGCCTCGCGGGCGCTGGAGTTCTTGGCAATCGCGGCCAGGAGATTGTTCCAAGAGAATAGATTGGGGCTGGCGATTCCATCAAACACCAACCTCGCATCATCCAAACTCCCACAGCTCCCAAACATCTGAATCATCTGATTGCACAGGCGAGTCTCGTGCCGCAGACCGATCGGCGAAACACTCGCGTGGATTTCTCTCGCGAGTGCTAGATCCTTGGTCCTCCCACACCGCCTGATAACATCGCCAAGGCTCATTCCGAGAGAACCAGTCCCTCCGGCATTCCGTCCCAGAATGTACGGGCGACGCTGCCTATTCCATCCCGGAATGTCCACCTCTTTAACGGCCTATTGTTTTGAAGTGTGCGAAGGAGAGAGCGAGAGCGCAGAGCAATGCTGGGCAAGGGTTTCAAATCTTCGAAATGGTAAGCGCCTCGCCGGCCCTCTTCGATCGATCGATCGCTGTCCTGCTTCTCACTTTTTTTTTTATTTTCTCATCCCTATTGATCGATCCATGGCAGCAAAACGCTCCTCAAGCTTGCGACGTCTCGGATCAAGCTCTTGAGGAACAAGAGGGACATCCAGGTGAAGCAAATGCGCCGCGACATTGCACAGATGTTGGGGACTGGCCAGGAACCTAGCGCTCGCATCCGGGTGGGTATTCTCCAATATATTCCCATCTTCTAAGCTTTGTTTCCACCAGGTAGAGCATGTTATCAGAGAGCAAAACATCATGGACGCGTATGATATGGTGGAGCTTTTCGCTGAGCTCATTGTAGTGCGTTTGCCAGTGATCGATGGCCAGAAGTAAGTAGTTTGATCAAAAGAGTGAAGAACAAAGGAAAAGAAGTTCTATCTTTTAGTCTCGAATGAAAAACTGAGATCAACTATTTTGATGCAGGACATGTCCGGCCGACTTGAAGGAATCCATCGCAAGTTTGATCTTTGCAGCAGCAAGGTGTGCTGATCTACCCGAGCTCGCTGATATAAAATCGTGTTTTGCTCTCAAGTACGGGAAGGAGTTTGTTGCTGCTGCTGCTGAGCTGAGGCCGACTTGTGGTGTTAGCCGGAGGGTCTGGATCAATTTCCTTTGTTCTTTCTGTTTAGGATTTCTGACAACAATTTAGTTTTTCTGCTCCAGATAATCGAGAAAATGTCCGTCCGAGCTCCGTCCGGAGAGACGAAACTAAAGGTGCTCAAAGAAATAGCTACGGAATATGGTGTGGTCTGGGACCCCAGGGACACTGAGGCCGAGCTTCTAAGCCAGCCCGAGGACCTTCTCGTAAGTTTTTCATTCACCTCTTAACACTGAAACAACGTTTCTCTCCACAGGATGGTCCTCACAAGTTCCAGTCGGCCACCGAGATGCCTCGGCCTCGGTCCGATCCTCCTCCAAAGCCTGTCATGAACACCAAAGCTTCGACATTCACCAATCCTTCCATGTTTGTCAACTCAAGAGCGTCGATAACTCCGCGCAGTTCGTTTCCACAAGAGAACCACGCTCACTCCACCATGAACGGTCCGGGCACTCCAGCTTACAAGGACGTCGCTGCCGCGGCTCAAGCGGCGGCGGACTCGGCCGAGCAAGCTGCCGCTGCTGCCCGAGCCGTGGCAAATCTGGCAACGAGACAGGTGCTACAGGGACTCTCGGAGCAAATCCTGAACGCGGTGCCGTGTGACGAAGAAACTAGCCCAAGATCATACAAGCTCCGCGACTACTTGTCTGGTGCCGCCAACGAGCTCGATGACTCGCCAGTTTCCATCTTCAATGGTCGCACCAGGCATTCCACCAGCGAGCTTTTCCGTGATCACGGCGGCTCCAGCCCGGACGATCACGACGATCTGACTGCTCGCTTCCAAGCGCTCAAATCTAGACGCTGCTGATCAGTTGGTTTTAAGCTAAAGGTGATAGATGTTTAATCTAAAAGGTAATATGAAGATATTTGCTTATATGAAGGAAGAAAAGGAAGAAACTGATTAGGGTTTAGATGGGTGCTCTCATTCCAGGATTGATAGATGATATAGTTGTTCAGCATATCATTTGCAAACTCTCTTATGCTGATAAAGTGATTGCAAGTCGTTTAAATTTAGCATGGAGAGAAGCAATTAGGATCCAGCATCGTCTCATACTACTTGATCACAATACAGCAAAGGTTTCTTTCATCCCTGGTGGTGGACTTTTCGAGTTCAAAGACCTTATGCTTTGCGATGAAATAAGCACGATAGACAGGTGTGAGATCACGGGACATAATGTGAGGGTGGTAGCGGCAGTACAAAACCAAAATATTTTGATGTCAAAGTGTAATTGGAGCGAAGATAAATGGCATATAGTATTATGTAGCTCATTGGGCACTATTTCATCGATTTTTCCACCACTATATTTGGAGACGTATAGTGTTAAAACGCCTGACTTTGCTGTGTGGAAAGGCGAGAACGAGATGAAGGTGTTGGTTTTTTGGTATTATGTTAAGCAATATTCTTCCAAAGATCCAGAGAAGTGGGTTGAGATTGACGAGGGTGATCCTATTGCATGTCCAGTTGTGAAAGGGAATGTTTGCTTTGCCGTGAATCTCTTCAAGATGGCATTAGTATGTTATAGACTTAAGGAGGGTGGCCGGTTTCAAACACTAAAGACTGATTTGGGAAAACCAGGAACAATGATGTGGTTGGAAGAGAAAGGGGAGAATTTGGTGTTGGTTAGAACGAAGTCTACGGATGACAAACAAGTTGCAGAAATCTTTGAGATTGTGTTGTCTGAGGACTATGAAATGAGACTCTTAGGACAGGTTTCATACGAGCACAACACGGAACTATTGGAGGTGAAATCAGTGGAGGGCAAGATTTACTTGAGCTTATATGAGAGAAGATCGACTACAGGGTCATGTTGCCGTGTGATTGAATACTCTAATGGTGAGGAGTTTGAAGTTCTTAAAGATTTAAACAGATCCTTCACTTTGAATACAGCAAAAGTTGTTTGAGAATTTCATTTTGTGTTTTTACAAAACGAGATTAAATATATAATGTCAGATTTTTCCTAACCTAAATTCACTCGGGCCCCTCGATCCAGAGCAGGTTATAAGAAGACCTGTTTCTCGTTCGTTTATCATCGTTTCATGTTCTCGAATGAGTGATTTTTTTGTTTGAAGGACATTCGCACGCATTTGGACGTGACCAACGTGGAAGTAACGAAAAGTGAACACTCGCAGGATAGAGAGATTGATAGTAGAAGACGTGGATGAAGACTGAGAGAAAGGCCGGAGGAAAGGTGGCAAAGACACCTGGGAGAGAGAAGAAGCCACCAAAGCTAAAGACGAGCAAGGTTCCAAGAGAAATCAAATTGTGTAGTCAGCACCTTTGGAGAAAGGTGCCAGTAAGGAGTTGATCACTTATGGAGCATGGAGTATAGAGCAAGTCTTGTGGTTATTGCAACAAGCCTAACCATGAAGAATCTGAATGTAAGTTGAAGATAAAACACTTTCAACAGCTGGAGGATTTCAAATGTTCAAAACCTGAGGCTCACTATGGACGATTGCCGGACAAAATTTGTGTTGCCCAGCTCAAAACCAAGCTTGAAAACAATGCCATGATGATATAGGGACTTTTACTTAGAATCTTTCTTTCTTTAAATTTTATTTGCAACTTTATGTAACTTAAAGGCAGAAGAAGGTTTTCTGCATCCATAAAAGTATACAATAAAACACTATAGCTTTACAAATTTCTCCAGGAGTTAGATAATGGATTTTAAGCCTCTTGAATGTAAGGTAAATAAAATCTTTCCACTGTGATAACATACTTTCCTTTTCCACGTACTTTAGCACCCATGGATGATTCTTCACTTGTGCTGCTGTTAAATGACGATCATCTAACATGCTTTGGATCAGTTTTGCTGCCCCTGGTGGAACCATAATCCGCCAGTTAAAAGAACGTGGCTGGTCCTCTAACCAGATGTTCGTCAATAGAAGAATTAAAACATACCCCAACCATCTAATATCTACAGTAATTTCTTCTCGATAATTACGCCTTAACACAATGCTATCATCAAAACCAGAGAATCTCACATCATCCAAGTCTTCTCCCTTGACAAGAATCTCATTGTACCTAAAAATCCCAAGGAAGTGCATACGGTGTAATACCCCCGCCATTCTGTGAACTAAAAGGGCAGCTTCTCTCTCGCCCATTTTTCCCTGGGATTTAAGACGCTCATACAAATGATCCTCACAAGGTTCCATTATCAAGTGCCAGCGTGTGGGTTCTCTTACAACTTCCATCAATTCCATCACCCCAGGAGTGCCCTTGAGAAGTGTCAAGATCCGAATCTCATTCCTCAGTTCCCAGAATTCTTGATTATCACCTGTCACACTGACTGTCCTACAACAGAAGATCTTGTTGTTGTTCAAAGCTCTTACCAAAGGCAATCCAGAGCTGGGCACAACCTCATACTTCTCCATTTGATTTAGGGTTGCCAAAGTGTTGAGCCGCCCTTTTATAGTTACTCTAATGCCTTTTCCTTATTTAAGAGATTCTTTTATGCGTGGCAAAACCTAAGCCGTCGGATCTCCCCGTTTTGCCAAACGACTATCGCGAGAATCGACCTCTAGAGTTTTTGATCTAGGGCAAGGGTTTGCGAGAGAAGAGCGACATGGGGGGCGGTGGAAAGGCGCTGGGAGCGAATCCAGGGGTCGTGGCAGTGCGACTGCGAGAGGTGGTCTACACGCTGTCCCCGAATCACCTCAAGATAATGCCGGGGCTGTGGAAGGATCTCCCGGAGAAGATCAAGCACAAGCTTGAGAACTGGCACTATGGCGTGCTCGTCGCCGTGGGATTCTACGGCCCCGTGTGGTAAACTTTGCCTGATTTTGGGGATTTCTTCTCTTGGTTGAGCTTCTTATTTCTTGAGTGTAGGTTTTGCAAGCACTCCGTGCATCAGAGGGAGCTCTCTCACCGCGACTAGGATTTGAATTTGGCTGGAAAATTTGGAAGAAGGTACTCTTTCTTTTGGCAATAAAAGGAGAGCTTTTGGACAATAGAACAATTTGGAACTTCGCCAAACTTCATAGCTTGTCTGTGTCTTTTCTCAAACTTGAAAGGTGGCTTATAACAGCTCTGGAGATCTCCAGAGCCACCATGGAAGATCTCAACGCAAACTCTTCGTACTCTTTGGAGAAAAGTATCGTTTGGTAATCGTCGATCACTGTCTTCACTGCCGATTCTTTGAGAGCCTCGGCAGAACTTGCGAGCTCGAGCATCTCCAGCGCATTGGAAGAAGTTACACTGCTCGTAAGATACTCCTTGCAAGTTCTGAGTTCTGGTCAGAGCTGGGATATCATACTTGTCTGCCGCGACAAGAAGAGACGCGGAGTTTTTGTCGTCGCTGATTCGAGCGCTGTAGAGAAACTCGTTGAAGTTCTCGAGTTGGCTGTGGTTGAGGAGCTCCGGGATCATCACGGCTCCACTGTGCTCGGATTTGCAAGCGTCAACTTCGAACAAGACCTTGGAAACGATGATTTGTGGCCTGGATCACGACGAAGTTTGAGAGGGAGCAAGTTCTACAAGTTTCTACAGGACAATGCGGTGTGCTCGATGGAGTGACCATAATTAAACTCGTTGTCTTAACAAAGCAACTACTGATGAAAATGTAAAGATTTTATTCGACTATTACCTTCACTTTTGACAATAATAACTTTGAAAAGTGTGAGGCAAGAAAGGTACATGTTTAAAGTTGAACGAATATGATTCCCTCAATAACAATCCCATTATTCCTCGCACTTTTCAGCTGTTCCAGCCATTCCTTCTTCTGAAATGCCTGCTTCTGCAGCTTGTTGATATCCATCTCATGGATTCTTCCTGCCTCTATGCCGCCGTCGTTTGTCAAGCCAAGACAAGTTTAATTCTCAAACAAACCTTGTAAGCAGTGCTGCATTTTTTCTTTTCCAAAACTGCAAGAAGTGCACTGAACAAACCGCAGTCATTACAGAAAGGGCTACATGGAGAGCAGTTCCTCATGGTCTGCAGCAAAAATTTAAGTGAAACTCAACAATGCGAAAGGAAACGAGACTCCTTGTAATAAAAGAAAAGCGCCACTACCGACGGAATGACAAGCCACTTATATATACATTCCAAGAAACGCAAAATATATAGCCATCTGAAATTCTAAACATCATAAGACACTCGTTTTTCAAAATTGCCAATCACCTTGGCACCGAAATACGCGTGGATGGCATCTACAGGTTGCGACGTAAGCCCTTTTCAAACCTTTCAACAATTCATTACGCGAAGTTTCACCTGAGGAAAAGAAAATGGAAGAAAATAAGCCTTGAGCACTGCAAGCATGTTGTCTCCCGGGTTTAGCTCTAGCTCCGATGAGTCACCCACCGTGAACTTCACAGGACGTGGAGAGAAGTGTCAGTCAAACCGCAACAGAAAGCATTAAACGATGCCATACCACACTATACAACAGGTACTCCATGCAACTGTATTTTTCTGTCCAACGAGTTGCTGATTGCTTGTCGCACAAATGCATCTCGCTTCTCCCAATCTAATCCTGTAGGAAGAATGAAAGTGAGAAAAGTTTTAGGCTCTGTTCGATCGGCAAACAAACCAAGGTAAGTCAATTTCTTGATGTTGAGCTTCTCTGCTGTGCGACCAACAACCTGCCGCGATCTGAAAAGCCACAAGCAAACGTATAAGAAAACTTACCTTGATGAATCTGATCGAATCCAAGCCCTCTTCGAGGCCACTATTCTTCAACCCCTTGATATAGCTCGCCACAGCATCGTTCAGACCCGGGGCTGTGCTTGCTTGCGACCGCGATGCAAATCTCGAAGCACGGTGCTGCATTCGATGACTTCATAGTGAAAGTGATCCACTGAGGGCTCGTGCAAGAACAAATGAGCAGGACGTGGACGATCACGATTTCACTGCCAATAAAGAGCTTTTTTATCGAAAGATCGCAAAAAAGGAGAAGTCAAATCCATACCTTGGGCCTAAGATGGATCCGAAATCACAAAGAAACATGAGCTTCGGACTTTCACACTGGTGGAAACGTCCTGCGGTTGACGGCTTTCCTGCAACCATCTCTAAGCTCCCAGATTTTCTCCTTTGTCCGCAAAGGAACAAGAACTTCCAATGGATGAAAGCTTACCTTATTATCAATGCGAAGAACAATTTTTTCTTTGCTGTGGCTGCGAGCTTACCTCAATCGACGGGGATCTTTCCAGCGGCCAAGAGCAAAGGAATGCCTTGCTCCGATAGAAACGTCGCGACTGGCAGTGGATAGAATGCGATCCACGGCACGCTGAATCTCCTAGCCACCTCCACCCATCCGAGGATAGAATCCGAGACAATGAAGCTCACTGGGCAAAATGACAATTGGCAAATGTTAGGCACCAGGTCAGGATAATAGGATAAAAGAAAGGGCCCTACAATCACCTTTTAGCCAGTTGGCTTAGGGTGTAAGGGATAGGATCTTAACATTGGTATTGGAGCCTAGTTCGATTCTTGTGGCTGACGAGTGGGGCAAGAATATTTTGAAGGAATATTCAACATGGTGGATTTAGAGGGAGAACCAAGGTTTGGTAGACCCTAAGAGAAGGACCATGGTGACCGGATGGTGGCCTAAGTATGATCGATTGGTATCGGAGCCTAGTTCGATTCTCATGGCTGACGAGTGGGGTAGGAATATTTTGAAGGAATATTCAACATGGTGGATCTAGAGGGAGAACCAAGGTTTGGTAGACCCTAAGAGAAGGACCATGGTGACCGGATGGTGGCCTAAGTATGATCGATTGGTATTGGAGCCTAGTTCGATTCTCATGGCTGACGAGTGGGGCAGGAATATTCTGAAGGAATATTCAACATGGTGGATCTAGAGGGAGAACCAAGGTTTGGTAGACCCTAAGAGAAGGACCATGGTGACCGGATGGTGGCCTAAGTATGATCAATTGGTATGGGGCAGGAATATTCTGAAGGAATATTCAACATGGTGGATCTAGAGGGAGAACCAAGGTTTGGTAGACCCTAAGAGAAGGACCATGGTGACCGGATGGTGGCCTAAGTATGATCAATTGGTATCGGAGCCTAGTTCGATTCTCATGGCTGACGAGTGGGGCAGGAATATTCTGAAGGAATATTCAACATGGTGGATCAAGAGAAGGACCATGGTGAGAAGAGAAGTATCGGAGCCTAGTTCGATTCTCATGGCTGACGAGTGGGGCAGGAATATTCTGAAGGAATATTCAACATGGTGGATCAAGAGAAGAACCATGGTGAAAAGAGAAGAGAAGAATAATTATCAAGAGAAGAATTATCAAGAGAAGGATAATAGGATAAAGAAAGGGCCCTGCAATCAAGTGATCACCCCTTTAGCCAGTTGGCTTAGGGTGTAAGGGATAGGATCCTAACAGCAAACGATCCCCTCCAGCAGTTCCACGAACGGCTCCTGGTAGCAGCGATGAATTTCGGGATGTCCTGTATGCTTCGCTCCAGCAGCATCTCATCTGGAATTGTGGCGAGGATGCCGATGCCGCGATCCTCTGGCGATAGCACACCGCGCATCTTCCGGGTTTTTTTTCAAAGGCTACTCGGTTTTGTGATCGTCGGTGCCGCTCTTGGTGGATCGATCATGGATTCCAGTGGAAACGAGCTCCTCCAGCTCAAGAGATACGTCGCAACTCCCACCGGGAAGAACGTCGCGCAGTACTATGCTCTCATCGACGTTCTCAAGTCGGCTCAGTCCATAGGAGCTTTCTTACACGGACTCTCTGGTGGTTCTTCTTTTCTTTCACCAACTTTCCTGATCCTAGATCAAGGGATATTGGAGGGTCTCTACGAAGGCTATGAAGGCCGAGTAATCGGGCTCATCGATAGTTTCGAGTCGTTTGATATCAGAACTACCAGAACTGGAAAACCCATGTTTCACTGCGTCATTTGCCTCGAGGACGTCCAGGATGCGGACATGTACACTCTCACCGAGTGCTCTCGCAAGTTTTGCTCATCGTGCGTGAAGCAGCACGTCGAAGCTACAGTAACAACCGGGCGGACTTTCCCGGTGGCTTGCCCGCAAGTCGAGTGCACGAAGAAGTTCACCGAGAGCGAGTGCAAGAAGCTGCTGTCCGAGGCGGCTCTCAAAGTTTTCATGAAGAAGATAGAGGAGGAGCGCATCCCTGAGAGTCTACTGCCCGTGTCCAAACTGCTCGGACTTGATGGATAGAAGGACTTTCCTCGACCCCAACCCCCGAGCTTGCCACAGATACTTCTGCCTCGACTGCCGAGTTCCCTGGCATACATTCTCGACTTGTGCTGGATACCAGCGGCTGCCTCTACTGGATTTTCCAGCGTTCTTGAGAACATTCTTTTTACGCTGGTGGTAGAACCCTAGAAAGGTATGAATGCTGTTTTCTTTTGGCTTTTGTACCGAATTCAAGGTGTCCGCTTTCCGCCTCGCGGTTTACTAGGGAAAGATTAGGGTTGTTTCACTAAAAAGGATCTTTAGCTCTAAGGGATGGAGCACGCCAACGCTAGCCCCGCGAAGCGCAAGCGAGGAGAAGGCGACAGTAAGCAGGCTCTACTTTACTGGCTTTACGGCAGCAGCTGCGCGGCTTGCAAAGCTGCGAGGTATTCTGCAAACGTCGAAGCTCTGGCGTCCGTCAAGAAAGCTCACCTTGACGGTCACCACGGATGGGCTCTCGGTGCATCGGGCGACACAGTAGGGGATACTGCTGCATCACCGGCAGATATGGGATGTGCGACGTCTGCCACATCACCAACGAGGGTGCCTGCCGGTGACCCGTCTACTCCTCCTCTCCGGGCTCCAGTTCCCTTGTTGTCCCTAACGGAAGAAGCATGCAAGCTTCTTCGTGCAAGCCCCTGTTCTGCAGACCGGGATGTTTTCATCTTCCAGCAGCCGCTGATCCGAGTGATCACCCACAAGATGCCTGCCAATGACAAGTTTGATTTCGAGCAGCAGATCAAACCGTGGATGAAGCGAGCAGTCACAAGGATGATTCAGCCCGTGCGGCTGAGCAAGGATGCGTACCAAGCGGAGCCCTGTGGTGACGAGTACGGGGAATTGCAAGACAGGACCCATATGTCTGCTGTTTTCACGGGGATCAGATCCATCATGCCAACGAGTGAACAAGTAAGGAAGACTTCTTTCCTTTGTTATTGTACTGAACTAGCCTTAGATTGCTGCCCGAGAGTCTTCCACGAAGTATATGGAAGAGGTAAGGAAGGCGGACGGGAGCTTCGAATACGTCGAGAAAGGTGTGACACCTCCGCCTCAGGATAGCAATGCAGCACACGAATCGTCCTCCGAAAAACAGAATCTGGTAAGCTAACTGTATGCATGAGTCTTCTGTTAACTAATAAGTGTTTGCCGGATGCACGCAGAGATGGGTCATGGACATCCTGATGTTTGCATTGGTGGGCGGAGCATGGTGCGTTGATGGTGTTGCAACCTGGGTTCCTCGCGTCATTGCTGAATGTAAATGGAGGTAAGCGTTCCATGAACCTGATCTCTGCAACTCTGTTTGTGTTTTAGTCTCAAGCCAGAGGATGTATATCAAGTTGCTTTGGGGGGTGCAAGGCTCTTTGTGGATAGGTTGCAGAAGAGGCTGCCGATTGACCGCTTGTACTTGAAGGTGTGATATTTATACATATTTTTAATTTGTTTATTTCCTCTTTAAGTCTGCATTGGCTTGAAACATTTCAGGTGTGGTCTGCAAAAAAATATCGGTACTCTATTTTGGATGTGTTTGGCTACGTGAGGTTGAAAAATGGAAGAGTTACTCCAGAGTCATTCAGTATATTTGAAAAGCAGGTAAATATTCGTTTTTTTTTGTGTGTTCTGACTCTGAGCTTGAGATTTCAAGGTTTCCGAGCTGCGAAGACGGTGTGGAGATTCTTTTCAAGAAGAGGCATTCAAGGATGCCTCCACATCTGTTCAAGACATGGAACGGTTGTTCCAGGAGCGTGAGATGGAGTTTCAAGCACGCTTTTGTGGAATCAGATTACCCACTGAAATTGTCGCCCCTGTTGGAGTCCTTTACATAAGTCAGGTGTGTTGACAAGTTGTTTTATTCTCCTGGTTCACAGAATTTGGTGTACAGGATAGTCGCCCGTTTCCCACAGGATCAGAAGTTGTTGAAGAAAAGGATGCCTATGTGTTTTATCAAGGAATGTTACGGGCGCTTGGCAGCAATGCAATTCTTGGCTGGGAAGAGGAACAATTGGAGGTATTAACAAGTTTTTTGTGTTTACTTGCTGCTCAAATTTGTGCAGGCAAATATTAGAGAAAGGTTGGGCGAGAGCGTTAACAAGTATCCCTTTGTCAACTGGCATGAAAATGATGTAAATGTGAGTATTTTAATTACAGACTAGTAAGTGCATTAGTTTTGGTTGCTGCAGCCTCCAAGTTTTGTATAGCTTGTAGGTAACTCGGAGATGAGGATCAAAAAGGAGGAAAGCTCTGGATCTGGCTGACTATTAGCATAATGTAAATGTTCCAACATAGCGGCGCTGTTTTGGATCACCTTGTTAGATTTTAATAAAATGCGGAGTAATATTTTTAAAAGAACTATGTTTATCATTAAATAACTATAGCAGAAAACTCTTGAATTCTATGCCGGAGAGGGACACTATCTTGGAATGTGATGCTTGCGAATCAACGAGGCCTCTCAACTCTTCGGAGCAATGGCGTTAATACACAACCCGGATGAGATCACACTCACAAGCTTGAGAACTGGCACTATGGCGTGCTCGTCGCCGTGGGATTCTACGGCCCCGTGTGGTAAACTTTTGCCTGATTTTTGGGGCTTTCCTTCTTCTCTTGTTCTTGGTTGAGCTTCTTTTTGTTTTGAGCTCTCCGCTACTAGGATTTGAATTTGGCTGGAAAATTTGGAAGAAGGTACTCTTTCGTTTGGCGAGCAATAAAGGGAGAGCCTTTGGACAATAGAACAAATGCCAAACTTTTCTCTTTTCATAGCTTGTCTATTTCTTCTCTCAAACTTGAAAGGTGGCTTATAACAGCTCTGGAGATCTCCAGAGCCACCATGGAAGATCTCAACGCAAACTCTTCGTACTCTTTGGAGAAAAGTATCGTTTGGTAATCGTCGATCACTGTCTTCACTGCCGATTCTTTGAGAGCCTCGGCAGAACAGAGAGTTGCGAGCTCGAGCATCTCCAGCACATTGGAAGAAGTTACACTGCTCGTAAGATACTCCTCGCAAGTTCTGGCCAGAGCTGGGATATCATACTTGTCCGCCGCGACGAGAAGAGACGCCGAGTTTTTGGATAGATCGTCGTCGCTGATTCGAGCGCTGTAGAGAAACTCGATGAAGTTCTCGAGTTGGCTGTGGTTGAGGAGCTCCGGGACCATCACGGCTCCACTGTGCTCGGATTTGCAAGCGTCAACTTCGAACAAGACCTTGAAAAACGATGATTTTGTGGCCTAGATCACGAAGAAGTTTGAGAGGGAGCAAGTTCTACAAGTTTCTACCAGGACAATGCGGTGTGCTCGAATGGAGTGACCATCGTTGGCAACGAGCTCCACGTCGGTGTGAATCCCTTCTCGAAATCCCACCGCCAGCGATTCGAGAAATCTAAGCTTGCGCGATGCCTCTCTTTCCATGAGCTCCAGATGCTCGATCCTTTTCGAGGCGTGAAGTAGCATGATCTAAATGCGAAAACGATTCACTTTGTTACTCTCGATCGTTCGAAAACCTTACCTTGGAAGATAGTTGCCGATCATCTTCTCCCAGCTTCCAATTTTGCTCGATCCGGCTGCTCACGCTCAGGATCGATTGCGCTCCCTCGAGGCATCCAGCACAGATTGTGTTTCGTGGAGGCCTGTAAGCGATCGTTCCCACCACCACGCTGCTACAAACGCAGCAATCCATCAAAGGCCACCCCTCCAATTCCAAAAGAATTGGAAGCTATGGAGCATTGCGATCGTGCCAGCAGACTTCATGGCACGAAGAGAAAAAAAAAATCGCGAGAATTTCCTGCAAGCTTTTCTTTTCTATCGTTTAGTTGCTTCCATGATTCCCACAAGCAAGCGCCTGGCATTACCTCATCATACACACTTCTCACGCAAGCGATGTATGTCAAGAGCACCGCGCATATTCCAATACCACCCAAAAATTATGCTGACCGGCGTTGACTGGGCTAGTCATCGACGCGCATTATTTTCGCTGTTAGTGTTGCTAAGCCGCCGCGTTTAGGACGTCTTGGATGACATTCGTTGCAACTTTCTCTTCATCCGTGACTTGACTTTCACCTTGGTCGCAACAGTGGCCATGGTGTTCGCGAAGTTGCCAACAGCCATCACGATTAGCAGCACTCCACACGCCACCATCTGCAAGAGCGAGCACAATCTTAGAGAACAACATCACGGCCGGATAGAAGACTTGCCTGCCAATCGTAATCTTTGTCCACCATTGGAGTTTTAAGCAGTTTGAAACCAATGAAGAACTGGAACGCCTGTAACGAAAAGCCAAACCAGCGAATTGTTTTCCTTGGAGACTAATCGTGATCTCTTTACCTGGAGAATGAAGAGCAGGGGATACAGCACCCAGATCTGTCCCTTCATCCCCGCGGTCTCTCCCCACACCACGTCCATTCTTCCAGCCTGAAACAACAGGTAATATCACCCAGTTAGAACCACAGAAGAGATGTTTTAGCCTGTTGTTAGTCCATAGCAAAAAAGAATATACATTCAAGATATCGCGCTCAAGGCCTTGCCTTTCCAAGAGCGATTCGTGTGTACAAGCGCTGTCGCTGGTATCGATTCTGCAGTAGCATCGAGACTCCCTGCATGGCTGCCCAAGACAAAAAGTGTCTCACAGCTTCCTACAAAGAGCCATGAGAAGGACGAACAAAGGAAGAATTATCAAAAGATTACCTGTTTACGAACGCACGACGGGTGCCCTTGAATGCCCCATGTCAAACTCACAAGAGCTGTAACCATGGCAAAATAATGATGATATACCCACCTGAGCGACAAAGAGACAATTCAAGACGGACAAAAAACGCAAAACAGGATAAAACACATACCATGGACGTATGTCACTTCCGTTCACTCGAAGAATGTTTTCTCGCAGTGCCAAGCTGGTGTAGAAGAACAGCAGCCATGCCTGACACAGACAGAAGGATTTTAATGGAGCGAATACAAAACCAAAGTTACTTACTTGGTAGGCTTGCACAGGTACAGCTGGGAAGCAGCCACTCCATAAAAAGTTCTTGAGTAACAGGAGGACACAAGGAAACGCCAAGAACAACACTGCTGTTCTGTCCTGAAAGGATGCGGCCAAACAGGACATTAATTTCAAAACCAGAAAAAAAAAAATCCTTTGCAAACGAACCCTGTAAGTGTTGTACTCTTCCTTCACTTTAAATCGCGCGTCATTCCGGGTAGCTCGGACGTTCACTGGCCCCAGGAGGAGGCGTAGAAACAGTCCTGGAAAACTCACCGATCAATCCAGATCCAAAACGCTGGAAAGAGCGAAGAAGAAAAGCTTTACCATTCGACTTGTGAGGAAGAAGAGCTGCGACATCACCCTCGTAGATCATGCTACGGGCCCTGTAGAGATCATCGTCCAGCTGACATGCATGCGAGTGTAAAGTTAGAAAGAAAGAGCGAAGAGAGAACGCATAGAGCAAAACCTTTTCCACCAGATGATTTCCAATCATGTCCTTCTCTAGCAGCGCAGCAATCTCGCCCTTCAAGCTCTTAATCTCGGCATCGTAAGCCAGCGCATGCTGGCTCAACACTTGCGCTTCCGCCCTTATCCTGGAGCTGTGAACCGATGCTTCGTCCTGTAGCTTCTTACACCTCTCCACGAAGCTCCCAATTCTCGCGACGATCTCTTTCTCGGCCGGGAGCTCGCATCGGTAGCTCCGATTCGCCGCGCAGCCAGTATTGGAATTGGAATCGGAATCGGGCAGAGAATTGGAATTCGAGTGTGGAGGCGCCATACCATCTTGCGTGAGCTCATCGACCGGCGCTCCCCCGGCGGCGATGCCCGCTTCTCCCATCGCCCGGAGAAAATGCCAAAACCCTAATCCACGCGTGGCATATAATTCAGGTAGCTGGGAGCATGTCCGCCATAGCCAGAGAAGGCAAACCTAGTTACACGAAAGGCCACGCGTCACGAAGTTACAGCGCCACGCGGTTAGAAAAATATTGTTGCTAGAATGCGGGCTATGGTCTCCTCTTCTCGGGTATGGTGTCGCCTCCATTGAGCTGAAAATTAGGTTTCCCGTTCCAGGTGTGCATTGTGAGCAGCGATTTTGGCGCCCGGAGGAGCGCGCTGAGACGCTGCTGCGTTGTTTGCCGCGATGGAGCGCGCGGTTTTGATTCCAAGGTGAGCATGCAAGCATGGAAATTCTTTTGATACATTGCGTGAATGCGGTCGCAGAAGAGCGATAGGAAGGAGCGGGCGAGACCAAAGCCAGTGTAAGGATGTGTGTTCTTTCGTGAAAGAGTGTTTATTTTCCTTTGATCCATAGGACCAAGCCTTTGGAAAGCAAGAGTGCTCGTAAGTTTCTTAGACGCTGGAGTTTGTGCTCTCTTAGTTTCTTCGTTTTTCCTCCAGAATTTCCACCAGGCGAACAAGCTTTCGAGAAAGATGACAATACTGACTTTGAGGAGCGTCTTAAAGCAATCAAAAGGTACATGGAGTGAGCTACAAGTGGTACTAGTTTATGTTTTCCAGTTCTGGCGAAGAGCAGCTACGAATCCAGAAGGAGAGAAAGTTTGGTCCTCTCGACTATTCCAGTCCCCCAAAAGAAGAAAACAAGAACAACCTGCTTCTCAAGGTATTTTTTGGTCAGTGCTTTTGTTTTTTACGAGCCATGAGGTGTTCAGGATTTTTTATAGGCTGGTGCTGGGCTCGCTGTCTTGGGACTCATTGTATCATTTGCAATCGGCGACTTTCTTCCGACAGCAAGGTTTGTTCTACGGCCGCACGAGTTTTTTTTTAACACTAGCACTCACTTCGTTTCCTGTAGTACAAATCTAGACAACGGTGTGGTTGCCAGCAAGAGGCTTAGGCCCCAAGAGGAGGAGAAATTCAAGGTAAAGCATTACTGTTTTTGCTCCTAAACACTTGTGACGCGTATTTAAACAGGCAGAACTTCAAAAGTTCGAGGAAGCTTTGAAAAATTCTCCAGATGATTTGTCTGCGCTTGAGGTATACGGTTTCGAACAAGCTTTGAAGTTCCCATTGATCGATCTCTGTTTGGCAGGGGGCTGCTGTTTCTTATGCCGAGCTTGGTGAATACGCTAAAGCTCAAACCAATCTAGAGAAGCTTATTCGGGTATGCATTGTCGGCATGGATATGACTAGCTTGACTTGTTTGAAATGCAGATGTCTCCAAGCAATGTGGAAGCGCTAAGGCTCTTAGCAGAGGTGAAAAGTTCGTTGAATGATTTTGAGGGAAGTTCCAATGCATATCGCCAGGCGATCAAAGTAATTCATGTCGCTTTTAAACATTTTCTGTAAACGGTTTTTGTCTTCAGGCTTCTGGTTCGACCTCCATGGAACTATTGCTGGGACTCACTGAAGCTTTAATAGATGCCAATAAACCTGGAGAGGTAACGAACGATATTTGCTGTGTCTGACGTTTCTTACTGAAACATTTTAGGCAGTGGACGAGCTTCTTAGAGCAAAGGAGACAACAAAAACGGCACCTGGTGTCCAACTCTTAAAGGCAGATAATGTTGAAGACAGAACTTCTAGTCCCGCGGAAGACGGAACCTCCTCCTCATCATTGGATCCCGTGCAGGCAAGTGCGCTTGACGTAATTTTTGGCCTCACCAGATTGTTTCACAGATTGATCTCCTGCTTGGAAAAGCATACTCTGCATGGAATCGTCCCACGGATGCATTAACCGTTTATGATGCTTTGATAAAAGGCCGTCCGGATGACTTTAGAGGATACTTGGCCAAGGTTTGCGAGTTCCTAAGTTTTTCATGTGTAGTTCTTTTACACCAAATGCCTATCAGGGAGTTCTATTGAAGGAGCAAGGTCAGGCAAGCGATGCTGAACGAATGTTTATCCAAGTAAGAGCTCTTCTATCTAGTTTTCTCACTCTAATTAACTCGCAACATGGTAGGCACGCTACTTCGCTCCTGCAAAGGCTAAGTATCTCGTGGACAAGTACACGAGACAGTAAAAGCGCTCGAGCTGATCTATACAGAGATAACGTTGGCCAGCAGTAGCCACGAGATTCCACTCGGGCATAGCGTCAAACACCGACTTTGCGTCTTCCAGGAGGCCCTTTTGCGATACAAGGGTCTGCTCCGGGGAGGCCCCAGAAACGAGGCTCCGCTCTGGGGACTTGTGAAACAGCTCGCTAGCTCTCTCAAGATGCCCATTCAAGGTATTAGCCCAGAGCAGCTCTACGAGACAATGCCCCTCTCTCTCTGGAATATCATTGAACGTATGATCGATACTGAATCTCTCAGGCATTGTTTGGAAGAGTTCTTGCGCCCAAGCGAGCGATCTCTCCTAGATTCCAGATTTAATTTACTAACCATAATTGACCATTAAACATCATTAGTGTTTTTAATACATCAATGGTGTTTTTAGCTCGTCCTTAGTAGTCTTCATAACACTCTTTCCTTGTGTTGAAGGCTTGCAACAACTCTCGAGAGCTTATGTGATGGTAAGCCAACTTGATTTAATTGATGGTGCCAAACAAGCTGGTCAAACTACAACCTTCACTAGTAATCAGTCTTTCGTGCAAGTTGTTAAATGCTTTATGTTGGTATACTATGGGTGATACAGAAGCTCCCAATTTAAACAAATGCAATAAGTTCTTGAACCATTGAGTGTGTCAAGCACAATAATCACCCTTAAAGTTCAGATTACATATCCCTAGCTTAAGCGTCTAACACTTCAAATCAATCAACATATAGCATCATATTATTATTGTAAAAGAGCGATATAGATTAAATCAGAAAACCACACTATTATGCAAAACTCAGTAATTTTGTAAAACTTAGGATGAAACTATTATGCTAAGGATATAACAACAAAAATTCCAAAGCTCCACTATTTAATAGCTATAACTTGATCATAGCAAACATTTCTCAAGGAGTAAAGGGATAATCATTTAAATAGTGTCAGAAAACAAAGACACACAAAATAATATATTAGACTATAAAAGATTCTGGATGATGCATTGCAATGAGTTTAAATGAATATGGCTAACCATTTTTAGCCTTATAGTTAAAAATCTAGTACAAAATAACCATGAAACAAAATAAATAGCTTAACAAAGTTAATGGGGATTTTAATTAGTGTTTTGTTTGTCTTATATTCAACCAATGTGTTAACAAAAACTACAAAGTGAATTTAATGAATTGTAAAAATATGGATTGATTGCTTATTATAAATCTTTATAAAATAAATGCTCCCTTAGTTTATAAAATATTTAAGCATTGTTATTCAATATTTGGTGATGAAAGATTTCATCAGCCATTTTTCTCTAGCTTATAATGACTATTATATATAATTAGCTATGTAAGGGTATAGATAAATGACTATAAGATCTGTGAGGTAGTGAAAGTAATTGTAAAAAACCATTAATTCATTAAATATTTAGTTGTTCTTGAATTTTCATAATTGTTTTTCTTTTAAGTTTAAGTCTCTCATCAAAAGATATTAAACACTTGGCAAGTACAATTACAACTATTTATAAGATTCCAATTGAAGATTATATGAAGCTAATTGGATATATAATAATAAGTTTTTTCTTGTATTTTATCATTTAATCCCTTTTCTTCCTAAGTATAATCACTTTGAAAAATCAAGGTCTATATAACCCATATGACAAATGGTTATTTAAAATTTATCAAGACAAATTTAAAAAAAACAAATTAGAGTATATTGCTTGTTCTTATGAGGGAATTGAATTTTTAAGATTGTTAATTTATTACTTTTGGTAAGTAAAAACACTTTATTCTGTACATATTTAACTTTCTTTAAAATTCAAATAGAAAAGATGATTAATAGGCTCATATTCATGAGTAGTAGCAATAAAATTTTAATAAAAAAACCAAAAGCTTTACAATGAAACAAAAATATAAAACTTATTATTTTTTTTAAGTACAAAAAAGTTAATAGTTATTTAGGAGAAAAGATTTAAGAATTTTATTTAACAAAAGTGTTATACTATATAAATCTCAAGAATGTATAATATGAAATTGTACTAAAGTAATAGATTACTTTCAAGTAGCAATAATTAGTCATTTTTAGAGAAAAATGTAATACTCTTTTTTTTTAGTTTCTAACTTTTGATGTTATTTTATAAATTTTAACGATATATAATTACTTTTAACTTTATCCAAAGATTTAAAAATTATAAAAGCTTTAGTGCTACCAACTAACATCACTATATTTTAACATTGTATTGTAAGTAATTGTGTCATTATATTTAATGAACTTTAATTTTTCAAGCTTACTTTGGTGAAATACATGTTATATAATTGAAAAGGTAGCTAAGTTCTTTAAAATTAGGCAGTTAGTATTCACATTTTGAAAAAACATAGCTAATAACAACAAAATTTTTATAAAGCAATTATTTCAATGGAATTGTTAAATCAAATTAATAGATGAGCCACATCTTATTAAGGGTTAAAAATTAACTCAAGTCATCACTTGTGACATTTTAGCATTAATCCTTTCTCACTCTCGCAATCCTAAATGTGATAAAATATTTTAGAATTAAAATATTCCTAGGATTTACTCAATACTTAATCTAAATTTAATCTCATCAAGTAAGATATAAACACTTTATAAAGTTTGGAGTAAAAGTTTTTCATTTAAGCACCTAATTAAATAAAATTTTCTAATCTAAACTATATAGAAAATATGTAATTTCATAAGTTCCTTCATATTGCATAGACAATAAAAAAATGATGGTGAAAGGTGTATATAAATTTTGGATAGTTTTACTTACATATTTTTGTAAAGTTAAAGTTGAAATAACTTTTTTATTTAATTGATCCCATATTAGTTCTTGGTTCTTATACTAGAATTTGCTTCAAAATTACAAGAATATGTCAAAGTCTAATAGTTAATAAAAATTTTATTTATTTTTGAAAATTCCTTTTTGTTTGGTATTTAATTTTAATACTCCTATTTTTACAAGCCAATGTAAGGCTAGTGATATAAAAATTCTTATCAGCAAGAGCAATGCCATTAAGTCTTATGGGAATATTTCTTTTCTAAGATGAGTGGATTTTTAAATTTAACTTCAGTAATTTTTTTCTTATTTAAAATGTTTAACTCTAATAGTTGTGTGTAGACATATTGATAAGTGACACCATATATAAAAGAGGTATGATTTTTGTTAACTACTACCTTCTTTATCTTGATATCACACTTGAATGTAAGTTGGCTATAGTCCTATTCATGAGCATTTCAATATAGTTTAAACTAAGTAACTTCACATAAGCCAATGCCAATATCCATACAATATATTAAGACATTAGTACTAAGCATAATCATAACTCAAAATTTCTTACCTATAATGTATGCCTCTCAAAAATAGAAGTACTAGCATAATATAGATTAAAGCTTAGTTTATCAATATAGCCCATCAATAGTTTCATAACCTAAGCTAAACTATTCTTCCTTTTGTTTTGTTGCTTTCTTTTTTTTTTTTACCAATGACACAACATGACAAACTTTAAAGCAGTTGATAATGCACTATATATATGATGATTTTCCCTCTTTGTTTACATGGTATATGTAGAGTATCTAGATCTACAAATCAAGGACATTTTCTCTTATATTCACTTTTGAAGTAAGAAATATAATAGAGAGAGAGATGTATGAACTAATATAACCTAGTGAGGGGTACTATGCCCAAAAACATATAACAATGTTACAAAAGTAGTTTATTCTTGAGCTTTTCATCTACTTATAAGTGATTAAGTTTTCCATTCTACTTTAGTCATTTAACCATACCTTTAACCACTTGGAAGAGTCTCATTAACAACCTCCATAAGTATTATTCTCAACTTGGGAATATGCTAGCCCCATGAATAACATCTATGCCACTTGGTCCAAGTGCTTTATGTGTTTGATCCCATGACAAACACCCCAAAGATACCACTAACATATTAACTTATTATATTGAAGCCATGTCCATTTACTTTTATCTTATTGGTAGTTAAAGACCACTCCTACCATAATCGGCCATCCATTCATAAGTGGTCATCGTAAGACTATACCTTAACATCTTTAGGATGCTAAAGACATGAGGAACACCCTTCTTTAATATCCCTTCTTTGATATTCACCAAATCCCGCTCTATCCACAACTGTACTCACCAATATTGCCATTGGGTCAAGGCTTGAAGGCTTGACCATTAAGTCCCATTAACTTTTAAGACTTCCTCACCATATAACTGTATTTTTAGTCATTACACAAAAGGATTATTCCTCTTTCTTTCCATAATTTGGGATTTTGGGGAATGCTAAGTATCCAAGTAAATAGTGCCACCCACACTTGAATTGGGAGTATCAACCATTCAATCTCTTGAAAGAGCTAAAGCTAGCTCTTTGTAAGGAACCGACTCCCTGAGATGTTGTAGGCTAAAGGATCCCCAAAAGCTTGACCGAAATGACAAAGAGTTCATCGGATGGGACCAAGTCGAGGATCGAGTCCAAGACCGACTCTAGGGCCGAGTTCGAGATAGAGTCCGGAATCGAGTCCGAGACCGACTCGGGGACCGAGTTCGAGTCCGAGTTCGAGTCCGAGTTCGAGACCGAGTTCGAGACGGAGTCCGAGATCCGAAATCGGGTCCGAGACCGAGTCTGAGGTCGAGTCCAAGGTCGGGTTCGAGATCGGGTCCGAGATCGAGTCCGAGATCGAGTCCGAGACCGAATCCGAAATCAGATCTGAAATTGGGTCCGAGATCGAGCCAGAGACTAAGTCCAAATACTAATACGGGTCAAAGGGTGAAAGCCCAAAGCTCCCAGGGGGGGGGGGGGCTGCAGGGGGTTCCAAAAGTATAGTAGGGATAGTGAGGTCCAGGAACCAGTCTTGAATGAACTCTCCAGTGGTGCTTCCAAACTGACTTGAGGTTGAGACTGGGGCCGAGGGGCCTTGGGTGGGAGTGAGCATGGGCCTGAGTGGTGCCGGAGGGGCCACCCAGGGAAGTGCTCAAGAGCAGCTCCCACTCCCGAAAGGGAAACCGACTGCGGTGCTCCCGGCTCAGGTGGAATGGTGCCCCACTTGAGTACCTTGTGGCTCATTGGTCTTCGCCCTTCCTAGGGGCTTGGGCCTTCCCTTCGGGATGGAAGTGGGGGGGTAGAGGTACCCATACCGGGCCGTTAGGCCACGGTGTTTCGCCCCGACGTCCCGAAGCAAGTGTTGCACCCAAGACTTGGGATTTAGAGGGTCCCATGATCAAGTCTTGTGGTACCAAGGGGTGTTAGGAATCTGGAGGCTTGGTGTGCTTGGCTGTTTATGCCTGCGGGGAGTGTAGCCAAACCTTAAGTCCAGTCTAACCCGGGGAGGGGGATTGGGAGAGATTTGGGAATCCGTAGATGGATGGC